GTTTGTTTTGACAGATACAAAGAGGAGTCAGAAGATAAGAAAGGTGAATGATAAAACGACATTGAGACCGTGTTTTTATTTTTGTCAATTCGTGGTGTCATACAAACCCATTAAAAGATTTATTATCCATTGTTCGATTTACGTATTTTTTATGTCACGTACAAGAGGGAAAAAAATAAACTTCTATCCTGTTCTTTCATTGGTTAGTGACTTGTGTAAATTGGAATAATTCAATGCTTATCACGAATTCATGTATTGTTGCCAACAATACCACCAAGTATGTGCCTGAAATCCTTGACATACAGTCTAGGACTAAAAAACCGCCGAATTTTAAAATAAAAAAAAAACAGTTAATGATTTCGATGCCCATGGCGATGACGTCACACATTACTGAACTGTAACCGTAACGTGGTTTATACTCCTAGCCAAAATTTTTTAATAAGAAACTGTTAAATATCCGAAAAAAAAAATGTTATAATATCATAAATAATCCTATATTCACATCCTCTAACTTCGTAAATACTCGAGGGACCGTTATCAATTTATGATACTTCTTATAAAAGGAAGGTACGAGCTTATCGTATAAAATCCTAAATTCATTTGTTTATACAATTATGAAGTGTAAAACCTATGTATTTTTCCGATGTCGAACGAACAAAATCATATTTGTATATTCTCCTGTATTAGCTAAAATGATATTACAGTACTGTACTGTAATTACTGTAACAATAAGAGCGATTCTAAAACAATTATAATATCACATGCTGTAACAAACATGTAATGCTAATTTGTTTCTACCCACTTTAAAATCAAATCTCTGGCTTTTTTCAAAACATCGTCAAACTCTTTTTCAGTAACTAATTTCCTCAGTGCTTTATTAGCTTTTTCCCAACACATCTCACACTCATCCTTAAATTGCCCAAACATCACAACCTCCAAATATTCGATTGCTAATGCAGTGCACAGAATTTTTTCGTTATCAATGCCAATCTCTTTAAAGTCTTTAGCTTCCTTCTTATCAAAGCACGGATAAAAACTTGCACTATTGAATTCCCCGTTAAAGGACTGAAATTTAAGAAACTCGTACAATACTTCGATTTTGGATCCTTTAAAGTTGAGCTTGAGTTCATGACCTTTTGTTTTTGATTCTTCAACATTCTCTTCGTTAGGTTCAATGTCAAATGAAAAAGACGAACCATCGAGTGAAGCCCCTTCCTTTGAACTCGTGCGATCACTTTTCGATTTCTTGCTAGACCTTGCCACTCCCATGAGAGGACTTTTACCAACCAGGCTATAACTTGATGACATAGCTAATGGGATTCGAATAAATTAAAAATTCGCTTATTTATCTGTTAAATACATAAAAATAGATTCACGTACATCTTGCATTAAAGCTTCTGAAATGATTTGAAGCTACTCGCGACGAACTCCCGTAGGATGAAACAGCAAGCGGCGGACCCATGTAGGATGAAACAGCTCGCGGCGAACTCGTGTAGGAAGAAAAAAATGTTCCTTGTATAGGCACTTCTCTCTTCTCAGGATGAAACAGCTTTCCAACTGACCTATTACCACTTTCATCAATTGCAAGGAAACTAGGCACGATATGGTCGAAAATAAGTTCAAAGTTTCAATTAATTATTAGTAGTGTAAAACTAATTAATGAATGATTACCTCGTGTATTTCGATGCTAAATTAAATGTTATTCCTATATAAACTACTTGTTCTTCTACAACTGAAACTGAGATCGGCTTTCCTTTGTTCTTTGGATGCTTGTGAATAAAGGAGGCACCGTCCTCAAGATCTCGAATGAGTTTCCTGGCGGCAAGTGTATGAATTTTTGACCCTTGCAACATTACTGGGTCTAAAGGAATGTTAAGTTTCATAGGTCCGTCCGGAGATTGTGCGGTTAACAAGATCTCCTTATTTGGGCTAACGCCCTTTGCTAGCATGCAATAAACGACAAATCTAACGCCAGAATAAATTGGTGGAATAACAAATAGTGCTTGTTTAGTTTTGGAATCTGTAACTATGGGATCCTGTGGAGGGGGACTAGGATTTTTGTCAAAGATGTTGATTGTTTGTTTTGTCTCTGCCTCCTTCTTATCAAGATCATCGTATTCGGATTCATTCCCCGTCCAGACAATCTTGTAATCCTTAACCGGAGGCTTGATGGCATTCTTTATCATACCTATAATTTTTTTATCCATGCGCTCACTAATGGTTACATACTGAGCGTAACCTTTTCCAGCGCGTGCAACAGATTCGACAAGATTATGAGATACAGAATTGCCAATTCCAATAGAAAACAATCTAAGGTTATCCTTCTTTTGCTCAACATTGGTGCGAATAAGTTCCACCAATGTCTCAACGTTCCAAACTTCACCGTCAGTAAGAAGGAAAACAGATGTTTGCATGTCAAACCTAGAATTTTCGAACGCCCATTTTAGTGGATCATATATTTCTGTGCCGCCATAATTGGCGTCCATGGATTTTGCATGATCGAGAGCCCGAGTAAGGGTGACCTCGGAATAAAGTTGACTTTGCGGGAACAATGAATCGTGATGAGAACCAAACGACACCACATTAAAATAGCAGCCTTCTGGAAGAGATCGAAGCAATAGTTGAAGAGTTTGTGCCGCTTTTTGAATAGGCTCTCCTCGCATTGACCCTGATCTTGAATTATAATTAGATAAATACTTTTATACATGTAATCTGGGTCACACTACATAAAGAATTTTTCAAAAGTTTTCTTTACCTATCCATAATAAATATTAATTCTACCAAGGTTTCCTTAAGCGCAAATTTGGGAACCAAAGTAAGCATAACACAATTGGTTTCTGTTGTAGAGTTATATTCGACGAACGCCCTATGATAGATAAAATCACAGGTGTTTTTTTACTTAGTCATCGAAAAAAAAAATTTTTTTTCTTACACGAGTAATACCTTGGCACATCAAGATCCAAACTTTTAACAACCAATATAAAATCCTTTTCCAAATAAGTTACATCTTCGGCCAATGTAATCTTTGCAACTTTAGGATCTCCATCAATATTAACTTCAGTAGAAATATGGTGTGAAGGAGACTCGATTGCCTGAATGGATGAAGTCATTCTGCATGTTACGTTAAGGTCAAGATGATAACTGGTTGAACTCGAATAAGATATTGATTCCTGGATGGATGTATTGTCACCCCATGGAGAACCATATCTCGGGGCAATAGCGGTAGGTAAGACGAATCGTATTTGTTCAGAATCAGCATCATGTTTGAGTTCAGTGACGTATGTGATTTTGATCACCACAGTCTGGTCAGAGGCGATGTTTCCGAGGGTGCATTGGAACACATCGGCAAGTTTTTCCTCCAATAAATAGGCGCCATGACCTTGCTACTTGTATGGAATAGATT